TTCTATTAATGAATTTGAAAATACACGTAAAAATGAGACTTGTAACTTAATTAAATTCTCAGCAACAATAGGATAAGCTTCATTGTCGCATGTTACTTCAAAAATCATTAGCATCTCATTGCACAAAAAATGGCAAAGAAATCCCATCGAATATCTCATGTGGCACACTAGGAGCTTCTGGAAAATCGCAGAGAGCTTCGAATTCGAATTGTGAACAAATGCTGGTGAAGTAAAAGGAGATTGAAGATAACCTTTCTTAAAAAATGCGTTCCGTATGGGTGGTTGGTAAGGGAAAATGATCGGTAGATTACACTTGGTCTTATCTCTCAGTCTGATCATTAGACATCGCAAAACTGAACTCGGCGAATATTTTTGGTTATGAACATTTGGTTTACCTGAATGACCCAACATCCAGATTGTTCTGATTAAGGGTATCTGCTTTAGACTGTACTGTCACCATCATCACATTGATTGTTATTCATTACTATTATCGATATTACTGATATTCTCCTTGCTATACTTTCATGCCTTACATCACCATATTGTTGTGATCATCAGTTCTTTACCAGAGTTAGAAATTCGAAACCATCTTGATCTGGGACAACCACTATTCTGCTGAGCCTTAGAAATGGAACATTATCCTTACCTGTTCTCATTGTTAAGAATAATATTTTAAAGTGATTTGCAGAGAATCGATTCGTAACGAACGTCGCACCAAATCATTGTACAGTAACGAGAGCGATTGTGCAACTGATTGAGCAGCTCAGATGGAATAATTTCATGTTTATATACAGCCAACAAGAAGGTATCCATTGGAGTGTCATGTTATAATATTCAATGGAAGTGCTCTAATGTAATGCTCGTATAGCCAATGATCACTTGGTGATCGAACATCTATCTATATTGCTGAGACAGCACAAGAACAGTGCAGAATCATGAGTAGTTCTTCAAATCCACTTATTGCATCAGTCCATGATGTAATATCTACGACGTATTTGCGTCTTAACATCGGCAGAACGTGCTGAACACGGCTGTGAAAAAATTATAACCTTAAGGTCCTTCCAGATCGCAGGATAACTCGTAGATTGCACGTAACTGTTAAATAGTTCAGTCGGAATTACTTTTTGGCTTTTATTTTGCAATAACACTGTATTATATATCGAAACACAAAGCATTCATAAGATACAAACACAACGAGGGAGGAGATCCTCTAAATGAGATATACGAAAGTTAAGTTTCATCATCGGAATCGATAGTGCATGATATCCGTGTACATCCTATACATATTCAGCTAAGTACAGATTTAAAGGTTGATTTCACATATCACTTTGGTGAACCTCACGAATCGTCTCTTTCGCGCTCCGTCGTGACATTACTCGTAGATCAAAAGATTTGCAAATGAACCGCAAAAGTATGAATTGTTGGAACGAGCACATACTACTGATTAATATCAATGATTGTTTCTATGACCTAATCGGAGAGCATTCAGATTTGGCTGAATTTGACGAACTCATTTCCGGTTGGACATCGACGTCCAAGGTGCGACCAGTTGTCAACGCAAGACAGCTGCCTTCGAATACCGATGATTTTCGACCGTTCCTCAAATATATCCGAAAACAACGACTGAAAAATATTGTTAGTTGTTATTTATGAAATCAAAAATTCCTCTATTCCCTCTTCATTGCGATGCAAAAATCCGACTCTTTAAAATTGATTTAATCGTTGAGATGTACTGCGAAAATTAGCCCTGCGTCAGATCAAACTTCTTCAGTATTCCATCTAAGAGCGGTTTAATTTCAATTAATATTATCGGTCCCTTCTGAACACAAAAATCGTTATGTCCTACAAATGGGACTGACTGTGAGAAATAGTCTTCCATGCAATCATCACTAGTGAACTATCAAATGGTGAGATTGAAGTAATTGCAGGTGATGCATTCCAAGAATATCAGCACAATATTTACAATGCTGAAACAAGCCAGCTCGTTGACTATGACCGAATCGCGTTATTCATACATCTTCATCAATCTAGTATGCTCATGAACCATTGATCCAGAGATTTTTTTTGACTGGCCTGAATTTTATAATTTTTTGTAAGAAAAATTTTTCAGCAGAATTTATCTGAATTTTGTAAGTTTTCTCTAGACCTTTTGTTACTTAATTGAATACGTGTTAATTAAAAGAGCTCTCGTTTTGCTATGAAATCACTTCCTTACATTGACTCCGATCACTTGTTAGAAAACGTCTGTATGCATTTATCTATCAATCATGCTTAAGTTTAGGATTTGGCATTGCTGGGTGATTTCTTGGCAATTGCGAATGGTGTATTTCAGTGCAATATAACAGGGATACAAATCGTGAAGACCGATCCACCCATGAAGGTTTCTCACTTGAATATCTTTATCCATCAAGTTGAATCCAATAATTTTCTGTGCAGTTAATGTCAGAAGATCCTTACTCAGAAGACTCAAATTTTGAACAATTCATGCCCTAACTATTCATCTACTTGTTTCTGATGGCTCTCTTTAATACCGAAGATGGCCCAGAAGCTTTCATCCGAATAGATTAACTAAATTCGAATCCTCCACTATCAAGGCTTCGAGTTATAATCCTAATAGAGCTCCTCCATTGGACATCTGAATAGTTTCCCTATCAAAAAAGTGAATGGAAACACTTTAACTGCTGTAGTGTGAGACATAAAGAAGGTACAATTCTAAATCTGACATCAATCTGTTTTTACTGTTTCCTCGCGAATCAAATCTTCATCCATCACAGACTGAGCTCGCTTTAACAATGGACGCAATACAAGCCATTGGAGCCGCGCTTCTAAGATTGAAGGTTCTGGAGCAGAATCCAATGCCATCGTCAATGCTGTGCGATGCACATGATCGATGGACTGATGGACCGAGTCTGAATCGCGCGATCAGAGATGTTCGTTTTCATAATAGGGGATTGATTGATTGTTTTGTCGTTAATCACTATGATTATGGCAATAGCAAGCGAAGCTGTTGTTACAATGACTTTATCAGTATAAGGTCACAGTAGAGACAGAGCCTCGCTTGATATAAGAGAAGTAATGGTGCGCATCAATATGTTTACACTATTTGCCAATTAGCAAATTAATTGAAAAGACATTTTATTAATGGGCAAATTTTCATGTAAGCTCATGAGTTTCAAATCAGATGATGAACCCTGAAGACGATTGAATATGACCACTTACTTAAGCAGGTTCAGGTATCAATGGATTCAGCTTCAACTGGCAAACTTACGTTCACGCCAGCAGGACAACGCACTGATCTACTATTCAACGGCATCGGTCGTATCAACGGTGAAATCGTTAAGGTAGGTGATGCTTTTTGATGTGTCCATTTTGCTTGAGGAAGTGGTGGCATTCCGATCACCTGAAAGCTAACGGGTTGAGTGCTTCATCATTTTATCGCTTGTAATACAAATGCAGGAAATGCGTATTTTTTCATAGAATTCTATGAAAACTTGTGTGTGACTCAGTACATTTCTACGGAAGTGATTTTCTTTGCATGCTTTTTAATTCTAACGAGTTTTTGTGTTGTTTTTTTCGTGCATTTGACCACTCACATGATTCCATCGTGACTTACATGATACACTTACACTCATATGTGATTTATTCAATTTTTGATCATTTGCTAATTAACAGATTAATTAAATTCTTTATTGATTAATAACAGATAACTAGACAATAGATACAAGCTGGATCAGAGCCTGGCTCAGGCTCACAACAGTAATGATATTGGTACACCACTCGGTTTCAAGCAAAACTTTCTCGTTCGCGGAGGAAAGTTTTGCTTGAAACCGATTGGTGTACCAATATCATTAATATCTATTGATTCATTATACTATTGATAATGTCTGCTTGTATGTTTTGATCTGACGACTGATCAAACACTGTCAGAGGATAAAACGAGGGTGAATCTATGCTCATTTATTTAATCAGCAATTACAACTCACTATGGATTTATGCCTTTCTGTTATCATCAATATCACATTCTTCTTTTCTTAACATGCGTCTATTCGTGCAGCTAGCGTTATCAGCTTAGGGAATCATTTGTCTTCATGAAGTTTTAATATCGACTATTGCTGTGACCAGTGCAGAGGTGCTGGGCTACTTCTCCATGTTGTCCAATGATCTGTAGAAAGTAAATGTATGTTGCTTTCATTCCCGTTTCTTCACGCAGCGCAACTTGATTCAACATGATTCATTAATATTCAACAACTTTTGGCCACACTTCCTCCTTTGTTTAGTTTCTGAAGCCTTGAAAGGGACATAATCAGCCCAAAACCATTCTTCGCTTGTTCGATATAACATGCGTCCAGTCTCAGTACGAGTAGCTACTTGAAACAATGGACACCAATAAGCCGGTGATCTTTCGGGATCGATAATTAACACCGATTCCGTTGCGATCAGCATATCAAACATTCCACAACCAAACAATAGTGAACATCGCTTATCATAACCACGGTGTACCACGGAATTCAGCCGAACAGCAATCTAATAACTAATCCAAACAACAGTTAACATGAATTTCCGAATAATATTACTCTCGTGAATGTGTGTACTCTTTCCAAATATGATCAGTCACTAGACTGTATTTGGATCACAAAACATTCTCGACATCCACATAGGATACAATGCCTATCAATGATTAGATATTCAAACGAATGAAGATTGGTTATTTTCCATTTTGAAGGATTTGGTCATTATGGAAGGATTTGGTTATTTTCCATTTTGATTTGACCGTCCCATTGTGTCACACCTAATTTGAGTAGCTCCAAAGGTAACCAAAATATATGCACGGTAACAACTTTTCATATAATGTCTTTCATGATACCCTGAAAGGAACATCGAACTTTCAAAAGCGTTTGTGTCTTCGATAATAAAATATTTCATGATATTCCTTGTGAAAAGTTGAAAAAATCAGTTACATCGTCAACATCGATCGAAAACTCGTTTCATCATTGCTGATTCATTTTTTGATGATTACTGAAAAAAAATGGAAAATGATGAAAAGAAAAAAGAATTCTCTGCAAATGCCAGAAAACAAATCACTGAACAACAATTAGTGCTATTTTAAGCGCAATTTTTCATTTTTCTTACAATTAGCATTTTTCTTGAATAATTTTTCTTTACCAAACTTCTTCTGCAGTTCAAATTAATTTTCAGTTTTGTTTTTTCGAACTCTTCAGCAGATTTATACTTCCTTCATCTTATGATAATTTTTACTCCTTCCATATTCTTCCTCTCGATCTCACGGCCCTCTCGCTTGCCGGAACATCTCATTCTTTTATCGTTGCTTTGCAATACCGTTTCGTCCACTTCTGAATCTGTTTCTGCAGTTTCTCAAATGAATGCTTTCATTCCTGCTTCTTCACGAAACACAAGTTCATGATTCATTAATATTCAACAACTTCAGTCACACTTCCTCCTTCGTTTAGTTTCTGAAGCCTTGAAAGAAGTCAAGTTTTCGCCGAACATTTACCGTAATCTTCTACAGTTGATGCGAGAATGCCAGAAAAATACTAGCTCTAGTGTGATGCTTCAACTGATAAGTTTTCTGCTTTTCAAAATTCTACTGTACTGCTGCTGCTGCAACAAAGAGAGTCCGGGTACCCGGACGATTTGCTTAAAGGCATTTTGCCTATGGATAGTTTGCCTAACGGGCGGCTTTTAATGGATATTTTGCCGAATAGGTAAACTGCTCTTAGGCAAGATGTCGTTAGGCAAAACGTTTTTAGGCAAATTGTCCGGTCACGGGCAGATTCTGTACCATTCATAGAAGTTTCCATTCAACAAAAGCTAAAGTAGCGAATTTAAAACGGTGAACCGAATGCACTGATCACAATTGCAACTGAATGCGTTGGGGAACTTGAATTTTTTCCAGCATTTACATTAAATTCAAGCACATTGCAGTGTCTCTCCGGCTTCAAAGGATAAAGTTTTTGAAATTTGTTTCCCCAAGTTACAATTAGAGTTGCATGAGATTTTCATCTAAATGAATTTGTTGCTCGTTCAAACCCGCAGCCTGTTGTGATGCTAGATTAATTGCGTGATTGCACCACACATGGTGAAATAATCACATGATTGATGACTTTTTCAAAAAAAATTTCTTTTCTGAGTAGTTCTAACTGATGCTCATGATATGGTATCGTTGTTGACAAGAATGGGTCTCGTGCAGACGGCGTTTTTTTTAAATGGTTGCTTTCTGCAACATCGACATGAGATGATGTATTTTTTGTTTTCGAGCACTTAACATAAGTGAACAACCGAAGAGGAATCAAGTGACTAATGATGAATGGTATCGTTCCACCTCGTAGCCGTGCGTTGATCTCGAAACAACTGCAAACTCAACCCTTCCTATCGCACACATAACCATGAAAAATGAGCACAAGATTGCTGATATTCGTGCTGTTGTACATTGTGTTGACTTTACATTCCATTTGTATGGTTTCAGTGGTGAGATTTTATCGATGACTACTACAGTCAACCGGTTTCCAAGCAAGAAACTAATTTTGTGCTATCTTCCTAACTTGTTTCATATTGCAAAACATCTTCCTCCTTACTTCTCGACGAATTCAGCCATTTTCCAAAACAACCGATTCAGCTGAAAAATCAACCGAACTCTTGTTGACAATATCACAATATCTTCTACGAAAACTAGCGCTCAGTCAGCGACGATATTAACAGCGAATTCATAGAAAACATTACAGTTTAACTTGCTCGGCTCAGTGCATTTGTTGAACACAAACCACTGACCCAAGCTTAGGAATTAACCGAATCGTTGCTCTAAAAAACTCTAAATTTTTAATTTCGTGAAAAAAATTTTACGATGAGGAGATCTCATTAACATTTGCCGATCGCGAAATTTCGCAAGAATATGAAGCCGTATCGTGTTACGATGTGGCTGTTCCTAACTCATTCAGTTGCATAAAATTTGCATTGAATACTGCAAACATCATCTTCTTTCATGTACAGTGAAAATGTAATCAAACTTTCACCATGAAGTAAACGTTTTCAGGTTCATAGAGC